CCACCTGCAGCGAGGAGTAGAGGGTGGGGGAGCTGCTGAAGCCGCGCCAGATAGAACTATGACCCCTGAACAATCATGTGAGTTCAGAGAATGGCAATATTTGATTCTCGAAAATTTAATTTGCATCCAGCACTTTTTCTTTATTGCCTGGCGACATCCGCACACTGCTCACAGGGTAGCGATGCCTGTGTGTGAACCATACATTGCGTTGCTGATGCATCTTCATTAGCCAAGAGAGTGGTGTTAGAAATGGGTAAATTGGATCATTTAATATCGTTGCTCTTACCTCCAGAAAAAAATAAATTGAGGTATTTTTCCCCATTAGAGTTAATAAGACTTGAAAGGCTAAATTTTCATTAGGAAGCCAAAAGCATTCTTACAAATCTTGTGTCTCTGAAGAAGGGCTGAGGAAGAAGCAGGAAGCCTGGCTGCATGGCTACCAGCTTGTAGGGCTGACGTGGGTCCACATGGACTCTACTTCTTTGCTGTTCAAGACTTGAAAACTTCACTGCAGGGAAGAGCTCTTCTGAGTTGCAAATCCATACTTTTCTGTACTGTAAAGAACTGAGAGCTCATTTCATTTATGACTCTGTGTGCCTGTCTATGGCAGCCTAGCCGTGCTCTGGACAATTCCTCCCTCTTCGGGCTACCTTTAGACTTTGTGTTCAATGTTTCCCTGAAAACAGAGCCAAAGGCAGGGACTTGGATCTAGGGCATGGTGTTATTTGGGAGATGATCCCTAGGAACAGATGTAGGAGGCTGGGGAGCGTGAGAGAGGATAAAAAAAAAAAAGCCATAGTAAGGATGTGAGATTGAGCTCACTGTGCTGCATCCTGGAGCCTGCGCTGCACCAAGACATCCTGTAGTTCTGCAGAACACCCTCCTCAGTATCTGAATCATAGCCAGATGGCCGGGGCAGTGGCAGCTCTGCCTCCACTGGTTCCTGGAGACATTAATCTCTTGCCCAGGGCAATTCTTGGGTTCAGATCCAGTGGGAAATGTTGGGACAGGAGAGAAACAAACAAAATGCACATGTGAGTGCCTGAGGGGGAGCGCCAGGAGGTGAAGGACAGCTGGGGCTATCATGGGGCCACCCAGCTGCTGTGGGCCAGGCAAGAGGAGGCTGGAGACCCCAGGCACTGCCCACAGTCAGGGAAGTGGTTCCCATCTGATGAGTACCCATGTACCGCTCATTCCTGGGTGAGCACTCACAGAGTGCACACTATTTGTCAGATATTCTTCTTGGCTCTAGGGATACTGTGGTGAACATAGAAAAGAAATAAATGGTATCGTTCAGCTAGCAGTGTTCTATAAAAAAGATAAAGCCAGGTAAGGGGACAGAGTGACAAGAATGGTACATTTTTATTTTAGATAAAGTGGTTAGATAAAATGAAAGAGGCAGCACTGAATAAAATAACCGGCATGAGCAGAGGCAAATGGTGGGAGGCAGGAGGGGTATGGGGTGACACAGCATTCCAGGTGGGAGAACAATAGTTTGGGAGGAAGTTCTTCATATCAGAGCAACAAGAAAGCCAGTGTGAAGGGTGCTGAGTGCATAAGGGAGAGAGCAGGGGAAACTGAGGCTGCAGAGACACTTATCGGAAGGTTGTGCAGGTCTTAGGAGGAAGGTTGGGCCTTGCTTCTTCTGGAGCAGAAAGCTGTTTGCGGGGACAGGGGGAGGTGCTGTAAGTTGGTTAAATTCTTCAATGAGACTTTTAAATCAAGTGTATATTTTGCATGTTGTGAATCTGAGTCCTTATACCTACCTCATCAGGTTCTAAGGATGGGGAAGACCTGCATCTTCCCACAGTCTCACAGTTATCATGCAGACACTGGATTCCAACCCAAGGAGTCTGGCTCCAGAGCCCTAGATCTCTGTGACTTTTAGTATCCGAAGGCCATTTCCCTAGGACTGAGTCCTGAGTCCTCATAAGACAGCGTGTTCTTTCAGGTCAGAAGTTGCAGTTATCACCTTCTCCTCCCTGGGACAAAACACCTGACACCCACAACTTACCAGAGGAAGATTATCTTGACTCATGAGCTTTAGGATTCAGTCCATACTCAGGTGGTCCCAAAGCAAAACAAGTATGGTGGAAGGATCTGGCAGGAGAGCTGCTCACATCATGGTCACCATGAAGCAGAGAGAGAGGGACGAGCCAGGAGAGTGATCCGCCTTTCCAGGCCATGCCCCTTGGGGTCCCACCTCTAACCACACCCCACCTTCTAACAGTACACTCATCTGCTGAACTATTAGTAGATGCATCCAGAGGTAAGCGCAATGCCCACATGATCCAATCATATCCCAAGAGCCCCGCTCCTGAATGCATGAGAGTTTGGGGGAATATTCTAGACTTAAATCATAACAGAAGTGCTCTTTTATTCTTTTCTCTACCTCATACAGCACCCAGGGGTGCTCACATCTGAGGAGTGGCACTGTCCTGGTTGGTGGTAGGTCCTGGTAGAAGTTGAAGGTGACATTGTCTTGCCTCCAACATGGCTTCCTATTCACTCTGGAGTGATGTTTCTGGTGATGTGTGACTTTCCAGGACCAGCAGGGCCTACTGTGTTTTCAGGGGTGGGCAGACAGGTGCAGCCTGGGGGTTTCTGAGGCTCTGAGGTATGTCTGCATGATGGGAGCAAAGGCTGTGACAGAGGAGGGAGAAAGCACTGCCATTGTACCATGTTTCCATCTGTAAAAATAAACTCAAAAGACTTTAGCAATTTGACTTGAGCCAATAATCTGACCTCCTTGTGGCCTCTTTCATCCATGTCTGAAAAGGAAGGTGTTAATTTTTCTTCTGCATTTAGAAGTTTCTTTGACCAGCAAGGACATTGGGTCAGCTTACCCTTTCAAGGTGGCAACTCCAATTTAGAAGATTTAAGTTTGAGAAAATGTGCTCTGTCCTCAGAGCCCAGGAGCAGTCATAAAAACTTGCCAGCCAGTTTGCAAGCAGTGGTTTATGTGAATTCATTCCAGGAGGCTTCAAAGGGTGTAATAAAGGTGTGCGAGACTCTGCCATTCACTGACAGCGTGGGATCGCATGGCCTTGTATCTGCTGGGCAGATTGCTTTGCCCCTGCTTGAGGAAGAACAGAACCTGGTCAGAGGTGTCTTGCTCAGGGTACAAGACAAGTGTGCAAGTTCAGCACTCTGGAAAAGATCATTAGTCAAGGCTTCAGTGCCCGAGCTGCCAAGACTTGTCTCCAGAGGTCAGCAAAGATGAGACCCAGAGTCAATTAGAGTGAAGGACCAGAAGCTGTGCTGGCTTCTCTGTGATCCAGGTCTTTAGAGCAGGCATGAGAGGTGAAAGGGTCTTACTTGCTGATTTTCAAAATACCAATCAATAGCAGACCTCCCTGACACCGCTTAAAGCTAACACTAAGCTCTCCAGTGTTGTTAGCCCGAGGAATGGAATGGCCCAGGAACAAACCTCTAACTAAAACAAGAAGAAACTCCAGTAGGGTTGAAATAAAGCAGTGGGGAGCAGCTTCCTTCAGGCTCTGACTTGTGGGAGAAGAATCACTGGCTCTCAAGTGCCCTCCACATCCCCTCAGGACAGTCTCTCTGTCGAATAACTATGGAACTGACCCAAGAGAGAACAGTTGCTTTCCTAGATCTGTGGGTCAAATTCTGGAAACCTGAAGATTTCCCTGGACAGTATCTGAGTCTTGAGGGACATCATTAATACTGTTATTGAGCTCTCAGCCAAGCACTGTGCTCAGTGACTTTCACACTTGCTCAAAATTCAAGCTTCACAGTAACTTTGTAAAGTGAGTTGGAATTCTTAGCCCTGTTTTATAGGTGAGGGAGCTGAGGCACAGATTAGCTTGATCAAGCTGGCCTGCATCTGGGAGGGCGGGACTGGGATTTGCTTTCCCAGCTGCCCAGTGGGGAAGAGACATTCCAACCCCTTTGAATGTGAACTTGAGTGTAGGGAGAGCTGGGGTTTATTTTTCTAGTCACTGAATTCTAGTGGATACTATTTTTTTTTATCATCTTTTCTTCTGTCCTCATGGTCTCAGTGGCTTAAACTTCACTGGAGAGATTGGGTGTACACATTTGGAGAAAGAGAACAAGTTGGTTGCAAGAGGGGAGATAGCTACTGACTGGCTGATTGGGAGCAGACCAATATCAAAGCCTTTGGAACCAGACAAAGATGCCCCCTGCCTTTTCTGCCCCAAAATTCCTAGTCAAGTGTTGGCCTCAAAGTTCTATAAAATCTTTTCTACAAGTCAGAGCATTTTGGGGGAACAGAAGGGTCTAGACAATTTCCTAACATCTGAGAAAAAAATTATAATTTGATTAAGACATTTCATATGCGTAGTAGCAGCAGTTCATTTGTGCAAATGATTTGAGGTCTGGGGAAAATAGCTACATCAAAAAAGAAAAAAAAAAAGTCTCTCAGCTGTTGAAAAGGACAACGTGAACAGAACTTAATTACAAGTACAGGCTAATGGAATTGAGAAGGAGGCGAGATGAATTCATTATATTAATAATAAACCTGATTTTAGGCAAAGGGAAGCAGACAGAAAGAAAGGAATGTGTAATGCATTATGTTTCCATTCTTCCTAATAAAGGGTAGTGTGCTGAAATGTAACAAGATTATCCATCCTCTCCATCTGCCTTTGTCTAAATAAATTCAAGTTTTGCACAAATGAAATGAATTTTCAGCTTATAATTTACTGTCTCTGGTGCATGTGGTACAGAGAGATCTGAGAAGCTCCCTTGGACGCCCCAAGCCCAAGACCTGGCAGGGCAGCAGGGAGAAGACTCCAAGTCCTCCTGTGTCATGGATGTGGGGACTGCAGAGCAGCAGCAGTCCAAGGCTTCCACAGCACAGGTTGGCAGAAAAGGATGTGACCTGGATGTGGGCTTCGATTTGAAGCTGGGGGGAGCTAGAGTAGTGGATGAGCTGCCTTCCCTTTGCATATTCCAGGAATAAGACAAAAATTCACAATTTTTTTTCCTATCTCACCTCATCCACCTCCATGTCATTACGCAGGAAGCTTTCTCCCCTATTTCTTTTTACATGTCATCCTTGTGCAGAGGCCATGCTACTCTCCGCATCATTCTAATTTTAGAATATGTACTGCCGAAGCAAGCACTTCTACATTTTAAGACATTTCATTTCAAAGTGCCTTCTTCCTTGGCTTTGGAACGCATGGATGTACTTCTCTCTGAGCTCCTATTTCCTGTTTGCTTGGTGAATGCAGCCGTGCCTCCGGTCAGTGGCTTATTCCCTGCATTATTTCTTCTGATTCTGTGTGCATCCCTTCATTAAAAGACCGTTGGGGACCTTCCACTTGCTGAGCACTGTGTTTGTAGGCACAGAGACTCTGTATCTAGCAAAGTAGACACAGCAGTTGGCCTGGCAGAAGTTGAAGGTGAATGAGGAACATGGGTTACAGGGCTGGCCAAATAACTCAGTGGATTAAAGCACCTACAGGCAGGCTCAGGGCCCGGGGATTCGATCCCTGGGCCTGCCATGCTGGCCCCAACCACAGGGCATGCTGAGATGTTGATTGAGACTGGGTGTGGTGGTACACACCTATAATCGCAGCACTTGGGAGGCTGTAAACAGGTGGGTCACAAGGAGTCCCATCTAGTAGTAAGACCCTAAACACCCTGTAGACCCTTCCCTAAAATACAAAAAAAAAAAAAAGGAAGATGAGTTACATAGCGTTCACCTAAACAAATAGATGATTATGGAATTTAATGTATCACATTTAAGCCAATAAGGTTTCACCACACTTTTATTATGGATCCACTTGTTGGTGGACATTTGGATTATTTATATCTTTAGGGCTATTAGGCAGAAAAGTGCATGTATCTTTATGTTAAATACTTTCTGAGGCAAATATTTTGAATATTTTAGAATGCTTGGGTCACTTAGAAAATATATTTAACATCATGTGAAACTGCCAAAGTGCTTTCCAAAGTTGGCAGCATTTTTATATGCCCTATTGCTCTATGTCAATGATGGCAAACCTTTTAGAGACAAGTGCCCAAATGACAACTCAAAACCCACATGTTTATCACAAAGTGCTGACAACACAGCAATTAACCTGAATGCTGAGGGTTTAGTGTAGGGGAACAAAATCTCATACGTGAACATCTTTTGTCTTAAAAAAAAAAAATAATAACATGTGCTATAGGTTCACCACCACTGCTCTATGTCTTGGCCAACAGTTGGTATTTTTACTGTTACTATTTTTAGTTATTCTAATGAGTCTGCAATAGTATCACATTGAAGTTTAAATTTGCATTTACCTGGAAACTAATAATTTAATGAATACAGAATTTAATGTGTCAGATGTAAGCCAGTAAGGTTTTGCCACACTTCTATTATGGATTCACTTATGGTAGACATTTGGATTGTTTATAGTTTTGGGCTAGTAGGCAGCAAAGTGCTATGTATATTTATGTTAAACACTTTCTGAAGCAAATATTTATAAGGATTTTTTTTTTTTTTTTTACTCCCATTAAAATTATGACTGTGGTTTTTGGTAGGGCTTTTTTTGGTAACAGGAATCAAATTCATGACTTTATGCTCAGCTATATTGCCAACTCTGTGCTTTTCTGACAGTAGCCCCTTTAGCTTTGGATATTATCATTCTTTTTATGTTATTTTTTACCTTAACCTACTTTTCTTCTTTGTCCCTCCCACTACACCTGTACTCCACCTTCTTTATTGTAATCTACATCCAAAAATATCTCCAAGAAGCTGGGTGCAGTGGCCTGTGCCTGTAATCCCAGCATTCTGGGAGGGTGAGGCAAGAGGATCCCAAATTTAAAACAAGTCTAGAAAACTTACAAGTACCCTTTCTCAAAATTTATTTATTTATTTCTTATGAGGCAGTTCAGCCAGGATCTTGCTATGTAGTTCTGGTTGGCCTCCCTAAGTAACCCAGGCTGGCTTCAAACTCATAGTGGTCCTCCTGCCTCAGCTTCCCTAGTGCTAGGATTACAGACTTGTACCACCATGCTCAGCCCCTTTCTCAAAATTAAAAATAAATAAGAAACCTGTAAGATGAAACACGTTCTCCATTGAGACTTCCTGTTTTATGAACCATATTCTCAAACCAGATTTCTACTACAATGTCTGTTTCTGTTCATTGTTCATTTGTACTGCTCACTGTATAATGAGGACAGCATTCCTTAAGCCCACTTGTATTTGCTACAGAGAACGGACCAATTTTATGTCTTACCTGGCTTTTTGCCACCATAGAAATGAGTATATTCAGCACAGGTAATGTACCTGAAGGCGAAAAAGAAAGAATGTTACTAGTACTGGACATGGTGGCACACACCTGTAATTCCAGCACTCTGGGGGATGAGGCAGGATATCTCCAAGTTCAAGGCCATCCTGAACTGTGTAGTGAAATCCTAACTCAAAAAGACAAAAATAAATTTAAAAAATAAATAGGGCTAGGGTGATAGCAGCTTAACTGCCTGCCTGGCAAGTGCAAGGTCCTGAGTTCTATCCCCAGTACCAAAATAGATAGACAGACAGACAGACATGACTACTGGTCCTTTATAGAGACAATCACGTTTTGGAATAAATGATGATGCAGTCTTCGCTTTTTTTTTTTTTTTTTTTTTCCGGAACCAGGGATTAAACTCAGGCCCTTGTGCTTGCCAGGTAAGCGCTTATTCTACTGAGCCATCTCCCCGGCCCTGGAGGCAGGAAGATTGTTTCCAGCTCAAAACCAGCCTGGGCTACAAAGTAAGCTAA